CATACCTGGGCTCCAAAGCTGATGGATTTTGCATTGGAATCCTGGGGTCCCTGCCTACTGTGTGACTTTGGACAGGTGACCCTCTCTGCCTTTCATTCGTCATTAATTAATAGGTATGTACTACCTATATCACAAGTTGATTATTGGTTTTAAAATTTAAAAATACAAAGGAAAAAAGAATAAATGCTTAGGTAACCCATGTAAAGCTCTATACGCTTAATACACATAGGTCACTTAGGTAACCTATGGAAAGCTTAATCCACTTGTTATTGTTATTCTCCAATATAAGCCCTCAAATGTTTTCACTTTGTCTCAAAAGATTTCCAGTTGCTCTCCCCGACATAAGACCTGCTAAATTCATTCTCTCCTTTATTGTCAGAATTATTTTTTAAAAAGCTAAGTCTGATCATGTAATTTCCCTGCTTAAGAGCCTCTGATACTCCTCTTCTACATGAGATTGCCTTTTTTGCCATACTAAAGCAGTGACTTGAAATCAGATTTAAAAATAGACAGAAATAACCACCAATAATTTTGAAAATAAAGGCAAAAGCGAGCACATAGCTCCTGTTTTAAGAACAAGGTAATTATGTAGCTCATGATAATTACCTGTGGGCATTGGTAAATACGTTGCAGCTTGATAATTGTACTCCACTGCAGGTTCAGATTAGAATGTTCCTTAAATTTACCACAGAAGGTGCTATTTAAAGTCAGGCTACAACCTGGAATGAGAGGAACTCTTTGGAATTATAGCAGCATTTCCAAATCTTTGCAATTTCCATCTGTTTCTTTTATGTGCCACTAATAATCAATTCAGTTAAATAATTAAAAATCAACAGATTCTATTACTTCCCTGAATTTCTGGCAAACAATTGAGTCAAAGTAATGAGGAAAGATAGTTGATTTGAAACCTGGAGCAGCGTTTATCAAAATATCAGTTAGGACTCATTAGTGGCACATGAAATCAATTTAGTGTCACCTGCCCCCCCCCCAGCAATTTTGTAAAAACTGGAATAGAATACAATTAAAAAAATACTACAGGGGCTTCCCTGGTGGCGCAGCGGTTGAGAGTCTGCCTGCCGATGCAGGGGACACAGGTTCGTGCCCCGGTCCGGGAAGATCCCACATGCCGCGGAGCGGCTCTGCCTGCTGAGCCTGCGCGTCCAGAGCCTGTGCTCCGCAATGGGAGAGGCCACAACAGTGAGAGGCCCGCGTACCGCAAAAAAAAAAAAAAAAAAAAAATACTACAGTATGCTGCATCATGGAAGGGTATATTGTTCTGTGAAATCTCTGTTTCAGTTGTATGTATGTATGTTTACTGGCTTGTAATATAAAATATATTTCCCACTATGGTATATATTTCCTACTGGTTTGGGTCAAAAAAGTTTTAAAGCCACCACCTTACAGGACACAGTAATATCGTTCAAGGAGTGGAATCAATTCCAAGTAGCCACTTAATAAAGTTGGTTTAATAACATGATAACATTGAAATCATATCCCACTTGGGACAAAAAAAAAAAAAAACAATTACATAATTATAATCCCAAGAGCATCATCAACACCTGATTCATTCACCAGACTTGGCTTCAAATAATTTTAAGTAGTTCAAAAAATCAAACCCATCTCTAAGTGGTGAACATTCATTACCACAGAAACTATGCAAAAGTATTTTCCATAACTTCTGAAGTCAATACCATAAAAGCAATTTGAGAAATATTTTCAGCAAAAGCAAAATCACTAAAATCAGACCCAGATCACTGTTTTCCAGCTGCTCCTGATGTTTTTTTGCATATTTATCACATTTAATTATAATTCTTGTATAATTTTTCCGAACAAGACTGAGCCCCTATCATACAGAAACTTTATTTTATTATTGCTGTGTTCTTAGTGCCTTTATATATATTGTCCAGCACACAAGAGACATTTCAAAACGTTTGTCAAGAAAACGGTACTCATTTAGATAAATATATGTTCTCAGACTTAATGACTGACTCAAGGTCAGAGCATATGCTAAACCTATTCATGCTTCTTGCCCACTTTAAAGAATATACTTCTCAAAGTCTCTCAGCTCTACAAAACAGCGCTTGATTGGAGCTCACATCTCATAACTTTTATTTTTTTATTTCTTATTTTTATTTATTTTTATTCTTTGCTGTACGCGGGCCTCTCACTGTTGTGGCTTCTCCTGTTGCGGAGCACAGGCTCCGGACACGCAGGCTCAGTGGCCATGGCTCACGAGCCCAGCCGCTCCACGGCATGTGGGATCTTCCCGGACCGGGGCACAAACCCCTGTCCCCTGCATCGGCAGGCGGACTCTCAACCACTGCGCCACCAGGGAAGCCCACAACTCATAACTTTTAATCAAAGGAATAAAATTTAGGAATTCCCTGGCCATCCAGTGGTTAGTACTTTGCACTCTCACTACCAAGGGACTGGGTTCAACAGTCCCTGGTGGGGGAGCTAAGGTCCCACAAGGAACAAAATTTAAAACCAAAATAAGACATTATTTTGGGACTTCCCTGGTGGCGCAGTGGTTGAGACTCCACCTCCCGATGTAGGGGACACGGGTTCAATCCCCGGTCTGGTAAGATCCCACATGCCGCAGAACAACTAAGCCCGTGAGCCACAACTACTGAGCCCGCGTGCCACGACTACTGAAGTCCTCGAGCCTAGAGCCTGTGCTCCTCAACGAGAGAAGCCACCACAATGAGAAGTGTGCACACAGCAACAAAGACCCAACACAGCCAAAAATAAAATAAAATTTAAAAAAAGATATTATTTTGATATCAAATTATCATGGATGCAAGCAGGGAAACAAGCAATGTTTGTGATGGGGAAAACTGAGGAAGGTAGTTTGGAAATACACATCAAAAATCTTCATATATACTTTTTCTTGTGAAGACATTTTGCTTCTAGTTCTTTATGGAAGAATTACAAATACGCAAATATGGACACAAGGGTATTAATCTCAGTGTGGTGTACAATAAAGATGTCTAATACTAGGCAATTAGTTATGTAAATTATGGTAATTATCACAATACAATAATATGCAGCCATGAAAAATAATGATGTTCAGTTATTTGGCATAGAAAGAGGCTCTGAAAATATGCTGTAAAAAGCAAGTAATAAAGCTGTGCACTGTAGAATATCATTTACATTTTTTTATGAGATGAAACTCATGTGACATAATTAACCATTTTACACTGAACTATTCAGTGTCTACTTAGTCTACTTTCACAATATTGGGCAACTGCCACCTCTGTCCAATTCCAAAACATTTTCATCACCCCAAAACGAAACCTGTATCCATTAGGCAGGTGCTTCCCATTCCCCCCCTCCCCCAATCCCTGGTAACTACCAGCCTATGTTCTGTCTCTATGGATTTACTTATTTGCGAATATTTCATGTAAATGGAATCATGTAACACGTGACCTTTTGTGTCTGATTTCTTTCATTTAGCATAATGTTTTGGAGATTTATCCACCTTGTATCAGTACTTGATTTTTTTTTTTATATAGCTGAACAATACTCCATTGTATGCGTATACTATAGTTTATTCATTGGTAGATGGACCTTTCAGGTGGTTTCTACCCTTTGGCTATTGACAATAGTGCTCGTATGAACATGGGTCCAGTGCAGAATCATTTTAATGATAACAAGTATCTGTTGGCAGAGAATAAGTGCAGGAATATCAGCAGTCATTATTTTGTGATGGAGAGGTGACAGATGAGTCTTTTTACGTTATGAAGAGCGTTGGGCTTTAGAATTAAGCAACCTGCCTCTATTTCTTCACTTGTAAAGTGAAGAAAATAAAAACTACCTAATTGAATTATTGTGAAGAGTAAATGAAACATTTGTAATGTACTTAGAAGTACATGGGGGCAAAAGGTAGGTACTGAATACATAGTATGTTTTTTAAAAATCTTTTTTGGTTTTACTTTTTGGTGACATTTACTGAAAATATTTTCCCCCAACGGAATAACCTGTTAAACAGGCTTTTTTTTTTTTTTTTTTTTTTGAGGGTGTATTTGCATGCTACACACTTAAGATGCATGTTTCTCTTTACTCATAGTCATTTGGGCTGGTGCCAGTCAAAGGCTGCCCAATTGTTTGATCTGATAACATCACTGTGACTTAGCTCTACAGTGTAACTCTCCCTCAACGTTTCAATTAAAATAATGTTCCAAGTAGCGTTAACGCCAACCCTCTGTCACAGTTCCTGTTCCATTTTAGTCTTTGTTTCGGCACCCCTTTATATGCTGCATATACAAGCATCAAGGTTTTACATTTTAGGAAACGTACAAAAGAAACGGAGGGACGGGTCAAGGGCACAGGCTTTCTTGTAGACACAGGAAAATACTTTGCGATCAGGTTTTTTCAAATATATAAAATTGCCTCCAGAATTCTTGCCTTTTTGTACTCCCTAGAAAACCTCAAATTTTATTTTTCATGGCAAACTCAAACTTCTCTGCCAGACGAGCACATCTTGAGCAGAGAAGAAGGGTCACCGTCCGGAGCGGGCAGGGGCCTCCCCGGGTTTGGGGAGGCTGAATTCGCGTCTGCAGCCCCGGAGCCGCCCCAGCGCGGGAGTTTCGAGGGGAGCTTGGGGACAGCTGCGGTGTCACGTGGGGAGGCCGCGCGGGGACCGACGCCTGGGGCCCGAGTGCCCCCGGGAAAGCCGGTGCCAAAGGGCCGCATCTCCAGAGCCCAAACCTGGGCTTTCGCTAGGGCCTTGCAGGGAGGGAGCTCGCCTGCCCGCCCGCGCCGGCACAGGTGTCCGGGGGGCGGCGTAGAGGTCCCCGCGGGCGGGGCCGGCGCGCCGGTGCGCGGGGCCCGGGGGCCCGAGGGGGAAGTTCCCGCGAGGTGGTTCTGAGCTCCTCCTCGGCGCTCAGGTTTCCTCTTCCCGCCCGCCGGCTGCTGGCTGCGGCGCCGCCTCCCTCCCCCTCCCCCCACCCACTCCGCGGCCTCGGCCCGCCTCGCCCCCGCCCGGGCCTCCTCGGGCTCTCTCTCTCCCTTCCCCTCGAGCCTCCGAGGAGCCCGCAGCCGCGGGCGCCCGGGAAGATGGCGACGGCGGCAGCGGGAGCCGGCGGCGAGGGGGGCGCGGGCCTGGGCGGCGCGGCGGGGCCCGAGCCGGAGTCGGGGCCGCGCGGGCCGGACCCCTCCGCCGAGGCGCGCAACGACGCCCGGGGCCCGGCGCCCGCCGCGCTGCACCCGGAGGAGGTCGCCGCGCGGCTGCAGCGGATGCGCCGGGAGCTGAGCAACCGCAGAAAAATCCTGGTGAAAAACCTGCCCCAGGACAGCAACTGCCAGGTGTGGGGACGGGCTGCGAGGCGACGCGTCCCGGGGGCTACGGGGCAGGAGCTTTAGAGAGAAGCTGCCCACGCCCTCCCGCCCCCATCCCCCGGTGTCCAGGCTGGTGCCCGGCGCCTGGGAGCGGTGCGGGGGAGGAGGGGGTCGTGCAGAGTTACGAGAACGGTCCTTGGCTTTTAAAGAGCCCCCGGGGTTTGTGAGTCCGCGGTCATCCCGCGAAGGAGGCACATTAGGAAACTGAGGCTCGGAGAGGCGAATGAGCTTGTCCAAGGTCACGGGAATCTGGAGCGTTGTCTCTAAGTTCGGCTGGTTCCTTCCTTCCCCTCATGGCCCAGGGTGGTGTACTGGGGGAAGGGGTCGGGGAAGTAAGTGAAGGAGAGCGGAGGTGAGCTGCGGAGCACAGCTTGGGGGTGGGGGACAAGTCTTCGGGAGCACCCTGAGACTGGCGCAGGGTCTCAACGGGGTCCTCGCGACTTGGATGTGCCTTGGGGGGTGGGGTCACGGGAAAGCTGGGAGTGAGTTTTGCTGTTGCAGGAGCACTTGACCAAGTTTGTATGAAACAACTCTGTCCCCTCAGTTTGCTAAGACCCTGGAATAGAGAGGTTATCGCTGCGGTTTGGGGAGCCTTGCAGCCGTCTTCTCCCTGCCGAGTACTGGAGGATTTGTTCCTTAGCGACTCCGAGGAGGCTTAAAGATAGGCTACTCTGTGTCTTTGATCCAGATTAACTGTTGCTTTAAGCTCTGCATCTATTTGACTTTTTTTTTTTTATCCTCGATTACCAAAGTTACGTGCTCATTATAGGAAAGCTAGAAAACACAGAGAAGCGCAAAGGGAGGAATAGAAATCACCTGTATTTTTGATACTTAAAGATAACCATTGTTAACGTGGAGTATTATCTTTCTTTTCCTGTGCGTATGTATTTTTTTTTTTACCAAAAAAAATCGAATTTCTTTGACTATTAAGGGTTTCTTGTCTAGATGTTCACGTATCTTTCACATTTAATTGGAATTTCTATATTTTGTGGGGATGGGGAGGGTGGTCTGTCCTGGTGGTTGCAGATTTGGGGCACTTCGTGTAGTTCCTCCTGTAGTGGGATGCATGGAATTGCAGGGGAGCTGCCTGTTGATAACTGCAGCGGTTCTTCCATTAGATCCGTTAAATATTGAGACCAATGCCTCATTACTATGTAACTAGACCTTACATAGCCACTCACAATAAATGTGAGCATGTAACCTTATAACCCATATACATGAAGGGCCATTTTGTTTCAAAAACAATGTAAAAAAGTCTCTGTTAGTGTTTGTACATCTCATCCCTCCTTCAGCTCTTTCCATGGTTGTCCACTTCCCCTCAGGCAGGTGATGTTCTGTAATGCTATAAGGACACCTGCAATGGACTGATTTCATAGAAGCAACTTTCCCGTGCCCACGCAAGTATAGGACAGCAAGTGAGCACAGAAAGAGGGAGGCTTGGAAAAGGCAGATGGAATTAAAAAAAAAAATTGAAGAAATAGCAGCTATGTGTGTAGATCATCTAGAAGAGAGGTGGAGAAGTGTCTTAATTTCCTTTGTAGAATGTCAACTATTTTTGTTATCACATTTCTTTGCATTAATTTTCAAAATATTTGGACCAAAAATTTTAGATAGTTCTGTCTATTCTTCCTTTGGTGTTGGTATCTTTCTCATTCCCTTCTCAAGAGACTTGAAAAAATATATTAAAGAGTCTAATAAAAGGAACAGTTAATTACCTGTTGTTAGTGATGGAGAGAGGTTTTATGAGAATTACACTGATTTGTATTTTTGAGATATTCTTTCTCTGTTATGAATTTATGTTTCACCTAAATTTTAGGATTTTTCTGTAAGGTAGCAAGCATAGACTATCAAATAAAGTTGGTTTAAGATCTGTATGTCTAGTTGGGTCTTTTACTGCCAAGTAAAGTATCTTAAATTTTTATGCCATGCTTTTTGAGAGCTGAAGAGTTTCGTCTATAAGCAAAAAATAAATAACTAAAAGTTGTTAGGACCTAGAAACTAGTTTCCAGACTTGTCCTAGCCTTTGTTTTTTTCTATGATGATTTCCATAACAAAATATTATTTTAAATATTTCTGATAATGTAGTTTTAAAATTTAAACAGATCAGTGTTTGATTACAGATAACATTTGTTTGAGTAGTGTTTTTCTTTTCTCTATTGTCTTCAGTGCTTGTACCTTTCCTAAGTTTTCTGATCACAATCATATTATAAATATCAATGGTCTGTGTTACACGAATAAGTAGAATAGACCGAAGTGTGCTAATTTCTAAAAGCAATTAAAAGACACTCGTTTCTTCAGATTATTTAAACTGAGTTGCTATTTTTATTAGTTCAATAAAATTAATATTTACTTGATCTACTTCTCAAGTTGTAATATTTTCTTGAATATATTCTGCTAGGATTTTTTGTTTGTTTTATCTTTTATTTACCTTAACAATTATAATTCTGTTTTTACCTAGTGGCTGCATTTTACTGTCAACTTACTAGTGAAGAATTAAGTTTAATCTTATTTTGTATCTTTTAGCCAGTATCAGCTGGATAAACTCCTGTTTCCTCCTTATGAAATGACTAACATGGTAAAAAAAAAAAAAAAGTTACTACTTTTTGTTCAGTTTCTAAGTAATCAGATATTTTAAATACCCAAATTCTTGTTCTTTTCTAGAAGAGTCTGTGTTCATTTATTCTGGAATATCACATTAAGGATCAAAGTCATTCCTAACTCTGGTTCTCAAACTGTATAGTTATGTTTCTAGAAAAGCTATGTTGATGATTGATCAGTAGGAACCCAATAATTTTTTCTTAACATTTTTAAAACATGGGTGTTTTCTTTATTAAACATAGTTTTCATAAGTCTTACTCATATTTTGTTTAATTTTTGGTATAACAGCATATACCAAATAGCATCCCACAACTTTACATTTCCTATGATTAGAAGGCACACTAAAGGTATTATTTTTTTTTAACATCTTTATTGGAGTATAATTGCTTTACAATGGTGTGTTAGTTTCTGCTTTATAACAAAGTGAATCAGCCATATGCATACATATATCCCCATATCCCCTCCCTCTTGCGTCTCCCTCCCACCCTCCCTATCCCACCCCTCTAGGTGGTCACAAAGCACCGAGCTGATCTCCCTGTGCCATGCGGCTGCTTCCCACTAGCTATCTATTTTACATTTGGTGGTGTATATATGTCCGTGCCACTCTCTCATGAAGGTATTATTTTTAAGTGAGAGCTTTTAAAGGTACAAATGTCAAATACCTTACAGTAGTAGAAATACTAACTCTAAAAAAATGAACGCCTTTATACTAATAAGTGCTCAAAAGAATAGTTACTATGGCATCTGTCAGGCGCTGTCTGGTGATCATCCTATGCTTTCCGGAATCCTCCCAGCCCTCTGTGTTCTCGTAGCTTCAACTCTGGTTCATATCCTTTTCATCTCTTGCAGAGTTACAACCTTTCTGCTTGTCACTTACCGTCATTATTGTGCTGTCTCTTATTTTTTAGCCCATCCTGCTTACTGTTTCCCTGAGAGAGCTTCCCAAGGCACAAATCTGATATCACTCCCCTATTCAAAACAAGAGAAAACAACAACAACAAAAATCTTTGGCTCCACATTCTCAGCAGTGCTTCTCAAACTTTCCCTCAAATTCTCCCTCATTTGTCTCTTCTCCTCAAATTGTAAGGAATAGTGAACCTGAATTAGCCTATGGCAAGAGTGAAATTGCTTTGAAGCTTCATGTTCTGTCTGAAAAATTCACATTAATTTTATGCTCTAGGAAAATTGGATTTAATATAAAAACAGTGACAAACTCATTTAACTTCCCTCCAAATTTTTTACATAAACTTGACACTTATGGAAGATGCACCACAATTATCCTATGATTTTTCCATACTCCTGTATTACCATGGAGTACTCAGACCTCACCTGAGAAGCATGACATACTAGGATAGAATTCTAAGACTCTAGGCTTTTTTTTTTTTTTTTTGGTGGTACGCGGGCCTCTTCCTGTTGTGGCCTCTCCCGTTGCGGAGCACAGGCTCCGGACGTGCAGGCTCAGCGGCCATGGCTCACGGGCCCAGCTGCTCCGCGGCATGTGGGATCTTCCCGGACCGGGGCACGAACCCGTGTCCCCTGCATCGGCAGGAGGACTCTCAGCCACTGCGCCACCAGAGAAGCCCTAGACTCTAGGCTTTTTGTGACTTGGCCCCTGCCTACATTTCTAGTCTCATATTTTATTGGTTCTACATTGGATTCTACTCTAATGTTTTAAAGCTACCTCCATCCTTGAGTACTTCATGCCACTGTGATTTGGTGTTTGTCTTTGTTAGTGTTTTGGAATGTTATTATAGTGATTAATTTATCATGAATAATATTTATAATAATTAGAATTATTTATCGTGAATAATAACAGTGCTGTGAACACTGGTTCTTATTCATTGTAGCTATCGTGTATATGTGTGTGTCTATATGTGTGAATAGTCTTTTGCAACTCTGACTTTAGAATTTTGATTAGTTAAGGTAATGCCCTAATATGTGGTTTTTAATTGTATTTCTATAAATTGTTTATATTTTATGGTTAACCTGATTCTGTTTCAGTAGCATTGCTACTGGGGTTTCAAATTGGAGAAATAATGACATTTATTTACTATATTGTTTGAGTTCACTCAGTTGTTTTTTTACATATCGTATGCATGTACCTGTATTTTGTTTTTGTTGTATTTATTTCAAAATCTGAAAGAGATTTTATTGTGTAATTAGAAGAAAATGTGAAGTGCTTAGGGCTAAATAGGAGAAACATTCTATTGTCTCACTTTGGGTGTTATTAACTTTCATTTCAAAGTACTCTATTAGGGTAGTTAGTTGAGAAGCTTGATGGTTAATTCATAGAGGCCCATTTGAAAGCACAGCACTTTTTAGAATAACAAACCACCAAATGTAGGAAACTCTGGTTGATTTTCCTTTTA